AGTTTGTAACGCAGTCAACCACTCACCTTTAGGATGTTCTAACCCGCGTACAAGAGTTTGTAACGCAGTCAACCACTCACCTTTAGGATGTTCTAACCCGCGTACAAGAGTTTGTAACGCAGTCAACCACTCACCTTTAGGATGTTCTAACCCGTGTACAAGAGCTTGTAAAGCAGTCAACCACTCACCTTTAGGATGTTCTAACCCATGTACAAGAGCTTGTAATGAAGTCAACTACTCACCTTTAGGATGTTCTAACCTGTGCACAAGAGCTTGTAATGCATAAAGTGCTTGAAGTTCCAGCTCCTCTTTGTGGTCAAGATAACGTTGAAGTACAGTAGTCCTCAAAGCAACAGTTTTTGCATTCAATTCACACCTGTTCTGGTCTCCTAAACACAAACACATTGATATTTTAGCTTCTGCAAAACTGAAAATTTTAAAAATATCTTAAAACAGAAATCATTATGTAAAGATTATTATAAATTCTAACTTGCTAAAACATAAAGACAATTTCTTTACGTGAACACAGCAGCAACAATAAATGGTATCTTTAAAGTGACAAAATATACAGTTGGAATGTACCAACCTTCAATACAACTTTCTATGACAGCAGTGACGAGCACACGAATGAAATGGGTGTCCTTGCTTTTTCTCTCTCCAATGTGGGCCTGTGAGAGATCAATAAACGATTTTCAATTCAATAATTTTTGTTGAATTTAAGTACTTTCCTTATTCAAAATTACTAATACTCATACCGTGTAAAAACTCTTATACTGAGGACACATTTTTCTCTAAGCCTGTGGGTAGAATAATCTTTCATATTATTTAATGAAAGTATAGGTGTAAATTGAATAAACAATAATTTAGAACCCCGAGCAAGTTAAAGAGCTCCTGATTCATATGGAACCCCCTCTCAATCTGCACTTTGACTTTTGCCTGTTTTAGTATTGTATTCATTTGATGGGGAGAAGCATCTCCAACAAAACCAATCCAAAACCACGTCACTCAGTAACAAATTGATATTTAAAAATTACAGCAGCAACATATTTCTCAGCCAGGTGCATATGTAGTGCACATTCACAAACTGGTTGCTATCTGCAGTAAACACATAACGTTTATAATTTAACAAATGTACTGATCCAGCAGTGTTTATATGCAAGAGGAAATGAAATTTTAACAAGTGTATCACCATGTGTTGTGTATGTATTTTTGTTTTAGAAAATACTGCAATCAGTATATATATTAAAGAGTGGGTGAGGGGATCTACAAAATACAACATATTCCTGCTTAGGTCTCCTAACGGGCTAACATCTCCCGTGAAATTATCAAACTAGTATTTTAATTCTTTCCACCTCTACAACATTCCGAAGTGATATCCATGAAAGGAAATTTTAAGACCCAGCGGCACAAAAAAACTGCCCTGATATGGCCGTGACTTTTCTTTTCCAATTACCGATTTGACAATGGACTACTTTTACACTTTCTATTATAGTTAATATGCATCGTAGGTACAGTGAATGACTGTAATGTATCACAAAGTTGACAAACATGGCATGTTCCTTTCTTTTTTTTCTTTTTTTTGTGTTCATCACATACTGTACCAGTTACTACTGTTTCCATGCTTCCTGGTATCCAATTGAAAATCTGAAAGTTGTGTTTAAATCAGCTCAACTAATGTAGCTAAACTGTTTACTAATAATTACTATTGCACTTTGAGCTCTTTCGATTATATATTTCATAATATTTTCTCAGCCAAATGTTTAGTAAAATATGCTACTTTTTCGCAGCCTTAACTCTTAAGAATTTCTATAAAACATTTCTTTAACACACTGTATTGATAACAGATATACTTATAATTTGCATTCCAGAAGTAATTCTGACAAGCATCACCAGACAGTTAAGTTGGTTATTTTACCTCTATCCAATCAAGAATTTCTTCATTATTAGCTTTCTTCTTCTGAAGAAGGAAGTCAAGTTCTCGCTTTATGTCATCAATGGAAAGGGAGGTGTCAGGCAGTACTTCATTGTCCTTTACTGTAAACTGTAACTTCTAAGAAAAAACAACAAAATAACTTACTCTTCTCTTATTTTGACAACTTTTTCAGCTGTATTTATTGTACAGCTGTTACACTTTTAGCACACGAGAAACCTCATAAAAACCAGTTTTCTTTTCTCACAGGTCATACAAGGGCACTAATAAGGACTACAACATAAAAATTATTGCCCAATAAATAATTTATTAAAAGCAGGAGCCAGTGCTATAAAGACTATATGTTTCAGTGTTCTTACATCACTATCTTCAGAAAGAACACTGAAAAGTGTAGAGTCTTGTTAGGGCTGGTCTACATTTTTAATAAATTATTTATTGCACAATTATTTTAATGCTGTACTACTTTTAATCTATTTAAGATCACTTAGTAACAAGATAGCTTCTGGCGAGTCCTTTGGACTAATATACAGAAGTACTACTACTAGTTATAGCATTATCCTAAAATGGACTACCAAATGATAAACATCTGAACTAGCCAATCAGTTCATCTAAAACCGAATATTAAGTTTGATGTGCCATGTATAGTAATGGAAATAATTACTGGTCGACAAAATTAAATTTTTTCTCTCAAAGATGTAAGCATATTGTTTGATTTTCTTCTAGCACATCTAGTTATCGATATATAACTGGTGTTAATTTCAGCACAATTTAGTTAATTACACATTAGGCTAGTTAACGTTACAATTTTATTCATTTTTTAGTGTAATTCCCATAAACATTATACACATGATACACTTGGTTACATTTATACAGTACACAATTATGAAAAAAGAAATGTACAACAATTTAAATTATACTTAAGGCAATAACCTTTCAATTTTGATCCATCTCATCAAGAAAACAAATTTGGAATCAGCATCCCGAAAGCTACCTAGCCCACCAATAATTACATCTGATGAAAATTACTTGTTGGCCAGTGTTATGGAATGTGATCAACTAGAACTAAACAGTCAATGTATCAGTAGCACATTATTACAAATAACACCAAAGGACTAGAATTTTGTATTTGTTTTCACCATTTCCAGACTAGTTTTTTCTTTACACAGTAGAAATACTTGCTTCATATTCCATGAAACTTGATACAATCTTCTAAATAGCATTTTTTTTTATAAACTATTGTATGTTTGTAATTAAGCACAAAGCTACACAATGGGCTATCTGTGCTCTGCCAACCACGGATATTGAAACTCAGATTCTAGCGTTGTAAGTCCTCAGACATACTGCCATGCCACGTGGGGGGGGGGGGGGGGGGGGGGCGGTTTTTCGAAACTACTATAATTTGATTCAGTATTTATCATTTTTTTTGAAATCTTCAAAATTTGGTCCTTTTAATTATGTTTGAAATTATGAACATTGCTCAACATCATGAAAATTAAACCTTATTTTCAATAAGCAATCCTGAAAAATATTTGGGGGTGCTTAACTTTTTTCCAGGTGTATATATCCAATCTACCTCCCTTTAAAGGAAGTCCTAAAATTTATATTTCTGGATTATTCCAAACTCTGTTAGTAGTTAAATATATTTTAATGTCATGAATAATTTTGATCTACCCAAATGACTCCCTAGGTGGTATTTTTTATTGGAAGTTTAATCACACTTACATGAGTTTGAATAAATGTGTCAACATCCTGACCAGGCTTTAGAAAGTCTTTCCACTGCATTCCAGAAGTTCTCCACAATTCACCCACTTTAAGGGATCCCTAAAAATTGATTGAAAATTGTAAGTTCAGGACAACAAGCACAATATTTATATTTAAAATTCTAATTATTAACGACAAAGCTGAATCTGATTTACAATTGGTGCCAATAAATATCCATTTAATTCACCAATGCCCCCAAAAGGAACTCTTAGACTTGGGATGAATGTTTAAATCTTAAACTTAAGCAGACATAACTAAAATCTCCAAGAAAGCATCAATTTGTCAGAAATAATATTACAAGAAGTGGACTGAGAACAAAAACATACAACTTTTTCCATTTTTTGAGATCTTATGATAAATAAGAGTTTAATGATAAAGTATATTGATACATTATACATTTTAATGACACACACAAAGTCAACAACACTCAAACTTTTGCTGACCTAACACACTAGTGACTCTAAAGTGCTGAGCAAATTTTCGAAACAGGATGCAAACCATGAATCCTCAGATTTACAATTTGGGCAAACTAACTAAGAGGCCACACCTAGCAATTAACAAGAAAATTATGAAACGTTTTCATGGGTGTGAACTCTTCAGAATATTTTTTCCCTACACTGAATTCAAATGACTAATATTATTGCTACTACAGAGATGACCCATGAGCAGTTGGATTAAAATCTTACCAGCTTTTCAACAGCTACATGGAGCACCTCTGACAAGAGAATTCCTGCCGTACCACTAGCTATACATGGTTCAGCTGCATCTTGAAGAAAAACAAGAGATATGCTTCCATCCTGGACCATGGGGGCTATGATTTCACCTAGATACAACCAAATTTTTGGTATGTCTATCTCAAAGTCATCAGCTAACTGTAGGATGGACTTCAGCCTGAAAAAAAGAAAAACAGAAATTTCAAGACATTTTCATTATATGCATTTTTTTTTTCAAACATTCTCTTATAAAATTCCACACACCAAATTAAGTGCAAAAGCAGATTTCACATTACATGAAATTACTTAAAACATTAACAGAAAACAAAAATTCTACAAAGTGGTATTAAAGTATTCTTAACACAAAAAAATTAAAAGTCAAAAATTTTTATCATTTAAATTTCTAGTCTGCTGCTTTTTTAGCATTTTTTATAAAAAAAATTTCAAAATACTAAGAAATTTTGATTATATGTAACTTACCCTTGGACGTACTGCTCGACAGTAATCATGTTTTTTCGAACCAAGTCATGAAAGAGCTGACCCACCAAATGGCGAGCCTGACTAGATCGTTCAAGGACTTGATTAAAAGCGAAAAAAATAAATAGACTAACGGTAGATGAAGAAAATACTTCAGAAACACAATGCATGGCTTCCTATTGATGGAAAAACAAATTATTATTGATCTATTATTAGTTTTAATAAAACTAACCAACATACACATAGCATGAAAGATAAATCATTCAGTTTTGATCTATTATTAGTTTTAATAAAACTAACTAACATACACATAGCATGAAAGATAAATCATTCATTTTTGATCTATAAAAGTTTTAATAAAACTAACTAACATACACATAGCATGAAAGATAAATCATTCATTTTTGATCTATAAAAGTTTTAACTTTTGTTTAACTTGACTACATGTATCAATACAAATAAACCTTAAATGTTATGCAGTGATTATTATTCCTTTTCTGAAACAAGTGTTTGAAAGCTCTAGATAAAACAATACTGAGAAAACTGGTAACAAAACTGAAACCTAGCAATACAAAATATTTTTACTGGTTTACAAACCTTAAAATCTTGAAGATGAAGAAATTCATCAATTAAGTGTTTGGTGCGTCTTTCAACCTCTTCATCATTTAAAGGTCCACCATTTAGTGTGAGGCCTAGGGACGTCGGAGCTACAATACAAGCTTAGATGTATATAATAATAAAAAACATCAATCATATTTATATTATACACTAGTTCCTTTAACTGGCAAAACAAATTGTTTTATAATATAACAAGAAACTCAGATTTGTTTTGGCTGTTTTTAAAGTTGGATCACACACAACAAAGCTTACTTCAAGGTGCAATAAACACTCTGGTCAGTATAACAAGGAATCAACTCATTCAAACTTAAATGGGTACCAATGCCTGATAACTCTATTCAGTAATAAGTCACCATACTGGTGATAATGAAAATTAAAAAAAAATAATGGAAACAGTAGTCTTGAACGAAAACACAAACCTTGTTCCTTCAGTTTCTTAGGCTCAGTTCTAGGTTTCTCTTTATTAATAGTAATTTCTATTAATTGTTCCTTCTCTCTTGGTAGTGTTTGAGAAGGCGTCTTTCTTAGTCCTGGAGGTGGAAGTTGACTAGTACGACCTCTACTGGATTCCCTACTTGAAGCTGCTGATCTATTTAATACACACACACACACATTCTAAAATTCAAACTATATTTTATTTTTTATATCTTTAAAACATTTTAAAACTCCTTTCAATGTACAGAAACATCTCATTCAATACCAACATATCTGAAAATTAAAATTAAAAGTGTAAGTACTATGTACATTACTTTATAATGTCCATCATTTCTAGGCCTTAGGGGAATATGTACAAAGTTACCCAAGTTCTGACATTGAAGATACTTAATCAAATTGCCCAAAGATGGGTATAAAACTTTTGAAGATGTTATTTCCTGCATCTAGAAATTCATAAAATGAAATTTAGAACATGTACAATTTTGTTAGGTAAAAGATTTTTAAACATTTGTGAAACAGTTTTGAAAAACAAACTTTCTTTCTTCATATATCATATCAAATTGAACATTTCAATATTTATTAAGTTACATTTTAATACTTTATTTTGCCAACTTCCTATATAAATCATAAAACACTGGTATGTCTGTCTGGTGTTGTAGCATTTGAAAATATTTTCGGTCAAAATTATTTGCTCCTAATAGTTAAAAGTTTTTCAAAAAATAAAAGTCTTGGTATTTCAGTGTGTTGTTTATACAATAAAGTTTAAATCAATCAACAAAAAAATTGTGCTATCCAAATAGCTTGCTATTACAGTCCCAGCTTACAATCCTCATTAAACTCGAACAACCTTTTCAACCTTACGCAAGCAGCTTTTCAACGAGCATAAAAACACTACCAGAAATGACAACTATCAAACATTAATGAAGTTTAAAAAAGTTTTTCTGTTACTCCATTACCATTGACTGTACTAGATAATTATTTAAAAAGCATGACTAATTTACACAGAAAAGTATTGTAGTCTTAACTACAATGTGTTAAGTCTAAAAATATTCATTTCTGAGTTATTTTCTAAAAATTATAGCCATTTTCATAGTTAAAAACCACTCTAAATTCTCAAGATCAAAATATTTTCTTTGCAACAGTTACTCAATAAAGACTATTAGCCATTCTTGATGTTTAGAACCACCCATAATCTTTATAAGACGATAAAACTAAATGTGATTTCAACAAATCATTTCACAGTTTAGGAAACAAAAAGTGTAAAAATGTAAAACAAGTTGAAAGCAGAACTGTTCAGATTTGACTGAGAGAAAAAAACCGATGCTTAGAAAGTCAGCAACAATAACAATAATCAAGGTATGACATTAAGAGTTCAAACACCGAGATACAAGTTGCATCAGATTTTGAGCTAAATAAGAATTATATTACAGTAAAATATCAATTTCATATATATATAATTTTTTTTTTTATGAGAAAACAGAGTTGCACATTTGCACTCGGAATGACCCGAGTGACTTGCTGATCTGGAATGAGTTAATTGACATAAACAAAAGCAAGTTTCCTAATTACAATTCAACAATAAATTTATAAACAGATCTCTTGGTAACCCCTGTTACAACTTTACCAATATATGGATAAAATTTACAGTATATCTCTGTAATTAATAACTACTAACTTTCAAAGAATTCATTATTCATAGTTGTATCTGTATCGGTTCACTCAAGGACAGAGGTTTACTTTTTCTTGATATAAAAATCTATCTATAAATCCTTTTCAAGTCAATCTCTTAATCATATTATGCCAGAAAGTTGACAAAGGAAGTCACTACATACCTTTGAGAAGTTCTTCTAGAATCAGTACAAGTAGTTTGGTCACCGGCTAAAGCTGAAAACCTGGTTGAAAGAAACCAAAATAATTAGATGAAAAAAAACTTGTATACTTTGGGATGCATTGCAAATGGTCATGATTAAATATAATATATAGATTTAATTTAATAATTACTTCTGACTGATCCTATTAAACTAAACATTACATTGATGATGTAGAATGTTTCAGTTTGGCAAAGAATGTCACTATAATGTATAGATTTAATTTAATAATTACTTCTGACTGATCCTATTAAACTAAACATTACATTGATGATGTAGAATGTTTCAGTTAGCAAAGAATGTCACTTAGTAGCAACTACACATTACAACACAGTGATAACAACATATTACAACACATACTACTATGTCTCAATCTCCACAAATAATATACAAAAGGTGTTTAAGCCTTTCTACCTTGAAACCCAGTCAGCCTGGTGAGCTCTGGCACTGAGCAGAAGGTCAAAAGTGATATATAAAAGACAAGCTACAATTGAAATGATATTACATACTTTTCTTACTACAAGCTAGGATCACCTGCTACATCCTTTCTTTAACAAATTGACACTAATTCTCTCCAGTGTTTTCTCTTAGATCATTTATAAACATTAGAAATAAGGTAACTTTTGTTGAGTTCAGATTGAGTAGCTAAGGAATTTATTTTAAGAAACTTAGTTACAAAGCCAGTTCAATTATAAGTTACAGGACATTGTTTTGTGCTTTCTATTATTATTCTGTGTTTTTATGTGCATATTTCAAATACACAGAAATTAATGAATGTACTAATAACATTTACAAACTAATGTAGGCCTACATTTCCTTGGCAGGCCAACAACAAGAGCAAGAGGTCAAATATCAAATGTAAGTACCAAACTTCTTAGGTATGTATGTATGTATGTATGTATGTATGTATGTATGCATGCATGCATGCATGTACACTGAGTGGTCACAAGTAAATAGACACCTAATTTTTTGTCATTTAACTGATTTATGCTAACTAATTTGCGTTCACAGAGC